ACGTTCGAAACGCCCAACTGCCGCGCTCAAGGGGCGGGGCGGGGTGGGGCTCTGTTCGAAACGGCTAACGGGCGTGCGCCGCTCTCGGCTCCCGCCTGTGGCTCCTCAGTGGCCCCCGGCGCTGTGTCCGGCTGTAGCCATCGCTAGCTGTTGCTCCTCTGTGGAGCAGGCTCAACGCGTCGGGTCCGCTCGGCAGAGGCGGATTGCCGGCATGGCGCTTCCACATACAAAAATGCCTTGCCTGCCTATAGCTGTGGCGGTGTGTATATCTGCCCATGGGTAGCTATAGCTATCGCTATCGTTAATCCGTTGTTACCCATCTACAGCTAGCTGTATCAATCGCTATCGACTGCTCTCAATCATACCTGTCTATCGCTGGCTGTCACTTTTGCTAATCTATCGCAACTGTTTCTCTCTACTCTGGTTAATCTGTCAGGTGCAGATCTACCCTGCCCTTCTCCCCACCCGCTTTTCCAGGGCTCAAGTCTGTTCCCTTTTAGCCCTCATATCACTGTGCCGAGCAAGCCACGCTTCTTTGGACTTGCCTGTTCTACCAAAAGAGCCTTTCTCTGCATCTGATGCTGTCCTTCCTGGACAGGATCAATCACAATTGCACCCGGCTGGGGTCTCTTTGGCGCCTTGCACCATGGTATTCCCTTTGTTTGAAACAAACCCCCCAGACCTGTGAGCAGCCAGAGGCCTGAGGTCTTCCCCCTTTCCAGGTGTTCCCAGCTGATGAGCAGCTAACAGAAATTCTGGTTATCAATCTCTCAAGTGCATGACCTTGCACTTTTTAATATTGAATTTTATCCCACTGCTGTGACTCCAGTGCTATTCTTCTGGTAAAACATCACAATGATCCTCTTTGTTAAGAGGATTTAACCCTCTGCCCCCAGGGTCATCATCCTCATGGATTGTGAATGATTTGTACAAATTGTCTCCATGATGCTTGCCAGGTTGCTCCTGGTAACTCTGCCTTCATGAAGATGCTTTACTTGTAGTTCCATCTTCCTGCGTGTTTACTATCCCACCAGGTTTGGTGCCATCCACAAATCCGATCACAGCTGAATGTTTCCTGCAGAAATCTAACAGATGTGAGAGGAAGCAGCAGCAGCACAGAGTGTACAGAAGGATTTGAAGGTCCAAATGGCTTCTGGAAACCATAAAAGAGCCCTTATTTGGGCTGCAGGTAGTTCTTTTCACTGCACCTACTGCTTACAAGCATGGCTGCTTGAAGACTGACATGTTTCACGCGTAGGAACAGAAGGAGCTCTGTGAACCACAGTTTGAGATCTGTTAAGTACATCAGCCTGCTGCCTTTCAGACAGTGGACTATTTGCTTTAAGGGAAACAGTGGAAACCCCATGGCTTAGATGATTTAAAACCGAGCAAAATGCAAGAAAATGTATGAAAACAGTCCTTCACTGAGTGGTTGCCCCAGGATTTCTGCAGATCTCTATAATCATTCCTTAATGAGAAAATTTACAAACACAACAAACATATTTGGTGGATATACATTTAATTTAGATTGCGAAAGCAACGAATTTTGTTGCATTTGTTAAGCCTACACATGCCACTAACATGCTTAAATGCCTTATAAAACAGCATCTGTTGGAGTAAATATTTTCATTAAATTCACACTGGTTGAAGATTTCACATAACAAACAATATTATCAGACATTTCCCAGAGGTTTGCTACATAAGCTTTCAACTAGAAAATGGCTCACCAGTTCTAATGGGAAAAGCTGTGGGTTACTTGCAGATTCCCTGCAATCAACATGCTTTCAGTGCCTCCAGAGGTAAATGCTTGTCCTGTTGGGTGTCTTGCTTATGGCAATGCCGTGTACTTATGCTTAAAAACTTTTTGGGAAGGATTTCCATGTCTATAAATCATGCAGATTTGACTCAGAAAAATGCTGTGGATGCACAGGGTCTGCATACTGAAAGGCAGCTATTTGTGATGGTACAGATCACAATTTCTAATTCTGAATAAACCTTTATGCCTCATGCTGAAGCTCCCGCTGGCTGGTTCCTGAAGGGTTTGTTTTCCCAGAGCAAGGGTTCAGCCACGTGACAGAATCAGAACTGAATGGGACGAAGCTGCTTTAGGCCTCAGTTCTCTTTACGTTTTCCCCCCTGGTATGGGAAACTGTTAGCAATGGAAGAAAGTACCCATCCCTGCTTATGAGTCTACCCGAAAGTTTCCCTAAGAGCATTCCAGTGTGTCTGATCACTGTATGGTGTGTGACCGTACATTAGACAAGTTACAATCATCCAGAGAAAGGCAGCCTTTGATTTCTCTAGAAATACCTTCACAGTGAGTAAGGAAGAGGAACTATATAGTCAATAGGTAGCAATGTCTGGACGACTGATACTTGCCATGTACTGAGCTGGCAAACCATGTGCTTCACAACAGGCATGGAAGTAGATCACTGAATGGGATTGCCCGTGTTTAACATTTGGGAAACTTTTCCTGAATTGGGCTGGAATGGTTGGCACTTTGTAGGCTCTACCATTTGGGCCTAAATTCCAAGTATTTAGGTGAATAGGATATGTGCTTCTGATTGCTCTGGCATACATCACAAAGATCAGTTCCAGTGTTCTCACAATCACAGTGAATGTGTGTGTCGCTCAACAGCACAACACCGTGCCTGTCTCAGTTTTTTGTCCAATTGCTAACATAAGAAAAATCAGTTCTTGTCAAATGCATATTGGTTAAGTGCATAAACCACTTAAGTGTGTAGTATCCTTTCACTCCAATGTCCACTTTGTAAATTAATTGTAATAATGGGTGCCAGGAGCCGTAAAGAGAAAGCAGCTATCAAAGGGCTGCTATTAAAGGTCTTGAAGAATGACAAGCAGTTTCATGGCTGCTATTAGAAGCTTTGAAAATGACAGGAGCTAGTCATTTTCCAAGACTTCTTTTCAAGTCCCAAAACTGAGAAGCCTTGAAAATGATGGAAGCTAGTCTGTGTCAGGGCTTCTAATGCTAGGGCTCTGTGCACTTAATGAATATTGGTTATCTTGATTTGGGTAAGTGCATACTCTGGGTATGTAACATAGCTTTTTCTTCAGTCTCACTGCTGTGCACTTAAGCCATGTACAGCGTACCTGCAAACTCCTGTTTCGCTGTTAGTGAAAGCTGAGCTACATTAAAAGGAAAGACTGTATTCTCTTACAGAAAAAAAATAACACACATGGTGTTGGAGCAATGAAAGGTACAATGGGATAGCATTTTATGTTTCAGCTGAAGAATCTTGCTATTGTACAGGACAGCAAGCTTACTGTAAAATACAGCTGTCACAAAGTGTTTTGGGGACAAAAAATAGCCTTTCCAATATTTGTTTCAGCATTATCTGCTAAGGTGCTTTTTTCATCCTACCTTGAAAATAATGGGAAACCATAAATAATGCTAAAATATCATTTGAGGTGATTACCTGGCAGACACCGTCTTGCCCTTTAATCACCAGCATGTACTATGAAGAGCATTTAATGTAGCAGGCTATCAGCTGGAAGATCTCTTGCACTTTTGTCATGTGGAATCTTGATTTATTGCTCTGTCTTTAAAATGTGTAGAAAACGAGTCTTTTTATATAGATTGCAGGGTTGCTCATGTTCCATTTAACTTAAATACAGCTGTCTAAGCATAGAACTGGACTTGTAAACTGCAAGTTATGAGGTTCCTTAGAGAACCAGATCTCACTGCAGAATAACCTGACACTATAGAATAGACTTCTTTTTTTTTTTAATAAACCAGACATGAAATTAAAATGCCAAGTTTCATTTAGGTTCCTGTGAATATTGGTAATACAATAAGATACAAAGCTCTACCCAGTTTAGTCAATATACTGTGCAAGTCACAATGCATACATATATTTATCGTTACCTAGCTGTGCCGTTCAGCCAATTGTTGTATATTAAAGAGAAACATTAATTTATTCCCTGTGGTTTTTGCATTTTGTTTTCTCCAGCTCTGAGGCAAAAACCAAATGTTTTCCCTTTGGATTTGGGCTGTTTGTTTTACAAAGGCATAATTTGGGGGCTGGTAATATGTAAACCACTTAGTCCATGCCAAGGAGTTATTCCAAAGTGAATAAATCAGGGCAATTTCATGAGAGATGGGGGAAGAGTTGGCCAACTCTTTGAAAGCATGGTAGATTCTCTGCATATAATGCATCCCTGGAGATCAAGGATCTCTGAAACCAAGGTCAATACTAGTGTGATTGAAGCTTCTGTGTATACTTAAGTGGGTGCGTTTACACAAGACATTTACTGTGCAGTAGACTAATTAGCTGTGCAGTAAATGTTGTGTGTCTACATGTGTGCCCCAATTAGGCTGGACTAAACTAATTTACTCTACAGCAGGATAGTACTACTTGCAAGTACTATCCTGCTGTAGAGTAGAAAGCTCTGCTGCAGTGCACGTGCAGATGCTGCCCCAGCTGGCTGGGGCACAAGGCTAGCCCTGCTCTGGAGCACCCTCATGCCCCAGCCAGTCCCTCCACAGCACGTTGAGTTGGGTGGGGAACAGGCTAACCCTCCGATCCCCCTGTCAGTTGAGGCTGCTCTGAACTCAACATACTGCAATCCCTGGCATATATGTAAATACTGTGCCCAAGAGCAACACACTCCAGTGCAGTAAGCACTGGAGTTTATTGCATCACATTAATATGCAAGTGTGGACAAACAGCATACTCATAATAACATGAAGTTAACCATCTAAGTGGTTCCTCTTTTCACGTGGGTTTTGCAGCTCAATGAATTCTATGCCGTTGTGGCTACATTGCTAGCAGTACCTAAGCCAGCTAACTTAAAGCTAGATTCTTATATGCCTGCATAAGATACAGCTACAACTGTGGCTGGAGTGCAGGCAAATCTTGCGAGTCAGAGAGAAGAGGCTGTGCAGTGGAAGCAGGTTAGTGAATAAAAGTACCAGGGTTAATCGAGAAGCTGGCAGAATTTTTTGATGCTGTGCTCCACTGATCATGCTGAGAGAGACCCAGAGTTCGTTATGTTTTGTGGCTGTTGGTAGAAGCTGAGAATCAGATTTTTATGCAATAGTTTTCAGGAGGCTCGGGGCAAAAGGTGCAGCCCCGAAATGCAGCAGTGGTGGGGAGTGCGGCAGCAGATTCCTTTAAGATAAATTTGTGCCATCTGGATTGTGAACTGCTCTAGAGACACAGGCAGCTCATGTAAGGTAGAAGAATTTGGGAGCCTGCTCAAACTTACTGCTGGTGAACTACCCCAACCCAGCCAGGATTTGTGGGGTGGGGTGTATGTGTGTGTAAGGGGGAAGCATGAAGCCCTTTGCTGCCCCTGCACATACAGATTCTCTGCTAGAGAAGCACACAGAGGCTGTAGTCATATCTGGCAAGACCCTCTCCAGTGGTGTGTTTCAGTTCTTTTGTAGAAGAAAGCCTTTTCACTTTAACACAGGGCCTTGGAGGGGGGAGGAGGTCAGAGAAAGGACAAGTTTAGCTAGTTGTAAATAAGCTGAGTAACAAAATTCCTTAGCACAAAAAGCCACTTTTGGTACCCAGTAAAGCTTACTTTGATTTTTGAAAGCTTGGTTAGAACTCAGCCACAGCATACTCACAGAACTGTGATTAGGAGGGAGATCAGTTGTATGCTTCCTGTATACGCCCTTGTGGCTGCCTGTACTTTTAGGGTGGTCACCCATCCCTAATTGGGTAGGACAGTACCAGACTGGGAACATCAAGTCCCAGTCCCAGGCTGCATGACTCCGGGACAGCATTTATCCCAGATTTTCAGTATTGTGCAGGGATTGGGAAATGGTGGGTTTCCCCTTGTAGGCTGGAAGCATTCCAGCCTGCAAGGGGCTGCCAGGAGCGAGATGCAGGGGGTGCCACATGCATGTGTGCACCCACATACATGCACATGGCTGGGAACACAGCTAGGCAGCGTGGAGAGCAGCTTCCTGCAGATAAGCCGTTGTGGGGGAGGGGACTTGGGGGATGCAGGGAGGGGCAGATCAAGGCCCCCCATGTTGAAGGAGGGAGTGGGGCAGGGGCTGGGGATGCTGCCCAGCCAGGGCAGTGCATGGGGCCTGAGGCTGGGGTGTGGAGTGGGATGGAGCCATAGGCGGCTCGTACAGAGGGTGTGGTGGGGGTGAGGGCAGCTCCCTACCACTGCATGTACCGCTGGGGAGAGGCAGGGGGGGCACATGCTCCCCATCAGATTTGTGTATGGGGTGGATGCAGGCTGGCCACTGTGGGCTCAGGGCTCCCTGCCTTTCTCCCTTTCCCTCGGGAGCCCTGTGCTGGCCATGCACCCCCTGCCTGTCTGGTAGCAGTGGGGTGGTGGCAGTGTGGAGTTGTGTCCTCTGCTGCTGCGAGGTGGGCAGGGGGCATGTGGCTGGTGTGGGGCTCCTGGAGGGCGGGGAACCCCAACCCCACAGTGGGAAGCCTGCATCTGCCCCTGTTCCACTTGGCTCTGCTCTGGCCATGGCGGGGTGGGGGAGGAGGGGGAGAGGCAGATATGTCTGCCTTTCAATTTTAACAAGTTGGTCATCCTATGTACTTTACTTATTAACATGGGCATGCTCCCTTCCCACAAATCAGTCAGTCTGTTTTACTGAATTTACAGCCACCAAACAGCAATGAATTTTAATCAGTAGCTTGCCTAACACTTCATGTGACATGTCTTCTAATAGAAGGATAGCCTTGGTATAAAAACCTGAACAGAATTAAGTGTCAGTCTGGAAGCAATACCGTATTGCCAACTAAAACTTTTATGCCTGGAGATAAAATAATGCCGAGTGTACCTTATCAGTAGAGGAACATTCCCAAATGTTTTAAGCTGTTCAGAGGACAGAGAAACAGCATATACACTTGCCCTGTCAGAATTGCTGTGTGTGTGTGAATGACGACACATATGTACAAGTGTGTATAAATAAACTATGTAAAAATATGGAAAAGTCCTGGTCAAAAGTTAAGGTCAAGCAGGCACACTAATCTTACAGACCTAATCTGAGACACAAAGACCTGTTTCTTTCAGAGTACTTGGTATTATCAGATATGTTTTCTATGTCCAATGCATGTGCAAATGATACCAATTGCAGCTATAAGTTCTCAACACTTCTGCAAATGACATCCCAAAGTCCTGAACTGAGTACCCAGAATATGAGGAGCGTTAGGTTTCACATCAGTGAAATGTTTGGTTTCAGTGACTTACCTAGCATCACACGGGAACTCCATGGAGGAGGCAGGCAGATAATTCCATTCTCCAGGACAGCTTTGATTCGCTTTAATCATATGTCCATCCTCTTTCTCCTTGCAATACCCTGGTCACCTCTCCACACCTTATAACTTTTGCAGGTGAAGCAGGGGATCCTATATCTGACAGATAGCAACCCAAACCATTACAGTTTGACAAGATTATAAAACTGAAAATGCGGTCTTATTAATGAGAAGTGCTTAATGATAAGTGGTAGTACTAAAGCAAACTAAAAAGAGAAATGCCTATCAGTGAGGTGTGTATGCATCACTATACCCATTTTAGAGACAGGTAAACTGTGCAGAGGGCTTAAATGATTCACTCAAAGTGCCAGTTAGTCAATGGCAAAGCTAGAAAAGAACTCACCGTGTTTCTTCTTATTCTTGATTTTGTGAGAAGAAAGCAATAAAAAACACAGAACCTCCCCCCACAAAATAAAACTTCCCATTTAATGCAGTTGGTCCAGACACAATGCTGTTGATACTCAGTCTGATTTTATTTTCACTTACACTGGGTAGTTCAGGATGAACTCAACAGGACTGGAACATCAGGCCCTCATTTATGAGCTTCATGAGCCAGCATGGTAAAGCAGAAGCCCTCATTTGCTTCTGTCAGATCCCTACTTTGCAGATGATGTGTACGTATTTAATTTTACAGACTATAACAGAGAAACGTGCTCTGGATAGCTAGGAAAGGGCTGCAACGAAGGAGGATACATTGCCACATTCATATTGCGAAGCAGAAAATTGTTTTTGTACTGTATCAAAGTTTCCAGGGTGCACCATCCTCTGGAGACAACCTCTACTTCCATTTTTTTCCTGGTATTTGTGTTTAGAGGTAAAAGGACAGCACTGGCGCTATAGCTAACAGCAACAAAAGAGCACAGTGCAAATTTGCATCATGACTGAAGGTCTGTATTGTCTTGGCTATCCCAACATTGCCTGGAAGCCTTTTTCCATTGTAAGCCAAACAACCTACTCAAATGTGTTATTCTCTCTGTAGATGGATATATCTATATCTTCAGCTATATTTGTACCTAATAAGAGAGTGTATAATAATGACTCTGTAATGATTTCACATTGGTTTCTCCCAGGAACTTCACAGTCACAACGGTCCTTCATTTCAGAATACTGTTTTATTATTTACTGTTTCAAATGTACACTTTGAACATAAGGGATCAATAAAAGGAAGAAACCCGCCCCCCTCCCCACATGATGTACAGTACATAGTCAGTTTGCATTGTTCCTAGTTTTTGAAGTTAGACATCAGGGTGCATACTGAAGAATACAGTTTATTATTATCATTTCTACATGAACTGGAGACACCACGCAACACAACTGTGATGGAATATTAGCTCAAACTTCATACAAGTATAATTATCTGGAGCTCCATTTGTTGTAGGAAAACTGCTTGTATAAGTGCAATAATCTTCAGCCTTGTTTAATGTGTTGGCCAGATATTTTTGGAACAAAATGATTTCACAAAAGAAAAAAACCCCACAATGTAACAGCTCGCCTTTCTTTTAAGAACACAAGTAACAAATTAAAACAAACTTGTAATGAAGTACAAGAAAAATCACAGCTTGCAAACTTAATTTGAAAAATCAGAGATATATTCTGCAAAGTTAAATCATCATCAAAAATGACTTTGGGTCTCTGACATTTTTTTCTCTTCAGCTTCTGAACCTTGTGTGCTCTGAGCTTCAGCAGTTACTCAGAATTTCCCTGCAATAAACTCCATCTACAGATACCTTTCGATCTCTTCTGTCGTTCTACTTTCCCAGCTTGACCTACATCAACCATCTCCGTTGCTCCTGTTTCAGGCACTGTTCTGGACATTTATCTCCTCTCTCCAGCTACTTCTATTCACTCCCTTGAACAACTCTTCCCTGCTCAGTCACTTCCATCGTCTTCAATTACTGCTCTTGACATCTTCAATCTCTTCCCTTCAGTCATTCCATTTTTCTCTTTTGTCTTGATTAGCTTCCTGCTCTTATATTTTTCTCCATGCAGCACTCAACTCCCTTTATTACTTGGAATTCCTCCCTTAAATCCTTTAAGAAATGTTAACCTCTTTGGGGCAGGTTTGTATTTTCATGAGTGAAATACCACTCACTTCCACAAAGTTGCATTTGTCTAAGAGATCTGAAAATCTGACTCAATCTTTTACCACAGACAGAAAAATCTGCACTAGTAGGGTGGGGACAGAATGGAAGATTAAATAGTAATATAATGCTATGTTCTCTCAGCTCAGCTTTTATTCTTGGTATGGATCTAAACAGTTTTACAGTATGTCAACTCACTGTCACATTTTTCTGGTATAATAATATAAAAAAGAACAGTTTAATCACATTTGCTTCTTCAATCTCTTGGCAGGGGCTGTTCCAAGCTCCCACTGCTTTGTGCTAAACTCTTCTGAATTAGTTGCTAGTGTCAGGAGAACCTGCCTTGTAACTGTTGGCACCAAGACATTTAGAAATGTAATACAGAGGCTGCTATGATACAGCACACTTTAAAAAGTATATAGGACAGCCTGGATCACTGATTTGTGCTGTAGCAAGAGCATTTTGATAGCAAACTTTGCACACCTACTGGGCATATAATGAAAGATATCCTTTCTTCACAGTATTTTAGCTTTCTTTTTTTTTAAAAAAAGAAGTGAATTTTATTTTCTGATTTACTGCTGGTCAGTGATTACTTATATTTTTAAACTTGCAGCTTTTGTTTGGTGAAAATGGAGCACAGAGAGCCCAAGGATCAGTAGCCCAGAAATCAGGACTTATGCAAAACTAGATGCCTATTTACCCCGTGCAA